TTTGCACCAAAATAAATTTATCTTTTAATTCAATTTTCCAGAAACTTTTTAAAGTACCATTCATATAACTGCCAGTGGTCTAATTTTGACATATGTAGGAGATTCTTTTAAACAAATTATAAAATAAAAAGACAATCTAATTGAGGGGGAAAATCAAGAAATTTGAGTAGATTCATCACAAAAGAATATTTCCAATGCCTACTAAGTTTATGAAGAAATTCTTTCCATGTCCGTGATGGTCAGAAAAACTCAAATGAGAACCACAATGGATACTATTAGTTACCCTCTCAAACGGCTAAAAGCATGAAACCTGAAGCAGCAAGCATTGGCCAGAATGTGGAAGAACTTTCCTTCTTCACAGCTGACGGGCATGTAAACTGGTACAACGACTTGTGAAAACTTGCTGGCCATTATTGACTTAAGTTGAAATCACGTGTAGTCCATGCCCAGCAATTTGTTACTAGGCAAAATGCATTTGGCAGAACTGTATGTTCCTGGGCAAGAGACAGGTACAAGCACATTCAAAGCACCACAATTGGTAATAGCCCAATGTTGGTGTCATCAAAGACTGTCATACTAAGAGACCTTCACTGCAATCACTACAGCCATTGGCAATAACAGGCCTGACTGTAGAAGCACGATGCTGAGAGAAAGAAGCCAGAAACAGAATAATACACAAAGAATGATTTGGGGGACAGGATCAGGGGTGCCAAAGGGGCTTCTGTAGATCTAGCATCATTCTATATCTTGGACTTGGATGGTACTTATCAATGCATTCACTTTATAACAACTCATTGAGCCATAACATCTCCCTTTGTGCATTGTTCTGCATGTGTGTTACATTTCACAGCTGCATTTTTTTAAGTGCATGAACCCGGTGAGTGATTGGCCTAGCAGTTAAGGCATAAGGATGCTGGTGCTCCTGTCAGAGTGTCTGGGTTTCAGTCCCAGCTCTGACTCCTGACTCCAGCTTCCTGCTAATGTAGACCCTGGGAGGCAGCAGGGCTTCCTGTCACTCTTATGAGAAACCTGGATTGAGATCTCGACTCCTGGTTTTGTCCTCAAACCCTACCCAAGGCCACTGAAAGCATTTGAGGAACGAACCAGTGGATGGGAATTATCTCTATATGTCTGTCTCTCTGCCTCTCAAATAGGTCATTTTTCAAAAAGACAAACAAATCTTTTGTAAAAATTCATGAAGCGCTTCTCAAAAAATTTTTGAAAGAGCTACAGGAAGATTTGGTGAGATAGGATTCCTTAGGATTGTAAATATTACACAGCATTAGGATTTAAGAAGATGGCAATAATGTAAATGTTGCTAGTGACCCTCAAATATCCACACAGAATGGTAAAGTAAAAGCACTTTAGAAATCAGATAAGTTCTTTCCTTGATGTTTATTGTCTATCTGGGATTCTCTGCCTTTTTTTTTTTTTTTTTTTCAGGCAGAGTTAGACAGTGAGAGAGAGAGAGACAGAAAGAAAGGTCTTCCTTCCATTGGTTCACCCCCAAATGGCAGCCACAGCCAGCACGCTGCGCCAATCCGAAGCAAGGAGCCAGGTGCTTCTTCCTGGTCTCCCATGCAGGTGCAGGTGCCCAAGCACTTGGGCCATCCTCCACTGCCCTCGCGGGCCACAGCAGAGAGCTGGATTGGAAGAGGAGCAACCGGGACTAGAACCTGGTGCCCACATGGGATGCTGGCACAGCAGGCGGAGGATTAACCAAGTGAGCCACAGCGCCAGCCTCTCTGCTTTTCTAACACACACTCCCCAATCTTTTTCAGAGAACTTTATCTCATCCATTCTCTCCTAACTGCTTCCAAGTCTTCAGGTTGCTTTAGGAGCAGTCACGTGAAAGCAATCCGAACCTGTCCCTGATGATAGCAAAACGGCGCAGTCTTATCTGTGGCACCATCTAAACCCCCGGTGCCATCTTGGGCTCTGGTCCTGTCGCCATCTTGCACAGTAAGCTTCTGTCCTAAGCCTTGCCTGGCTCACTAGATGTCAGGTGACCAAACGGCCCAATCACAAGGCTTTAGCTCCACCCCCCCCACCCTAATGGGATTCATTGCTCCCACTTCTCTACTCTCTGCAAGGGTATAACAGGACTTGGTTCCCATACATATGCTCTCTGTTGACTTTCTTCTCTTTCTCTTTCTCTCTCTCTCTCTCGTCCTTTCTTCTTCACCCTCTCACTCCGGCCTGTCAGATTTCCCCCGTCCATAAGTCCTTTCCCTTAACTCCAGTGTTTGGAGTGTTTTGTGTGGCCTTACATCTGATATACTTGTATGTCCAATGATGTGCATTTGAAAAGCTCCTTTTGCAATGCAGAAGTGACCCCTTTCCATAAATCGGTAAGTGCCTGTTTTCATGGGTGTGCTGTCTTACAGTTCCCACCTCAAATGCATTTGCTTCATTTTCTTAAGTGTAAGAGGCCTGGAAGGAAATCCAGGAAAAGCACAGCCTCTGGAATTCCACTCACTGGGAATCAGATTCCAGTCTGCTGCCCATTCAGTGAGTGGCCTGTCCAAGCCTGGATCCTCACTGGGAAACTTGGAGTACCACGACCAACTTATAGACCTGAAGCAAGACTGAAGGAGGAAGTCAAGATAAAATGCATAGCACATGGGGCTGGCGCTGTGGCACAGCAGGTTAATGCCCTGGCCTGAAACCCCGGCATCCTATATGGGTGTCAGTTCTAGTTCCGGCTGCTCCTCTTCCAATCCAGCTCTCTACTATGGCCTGGGAAAGCAGCAGAAGATGCCCAAGTCCTTGGACCCCTGCACCCGCGTGGGAGATCCAGAAGAAACTCCTGGCTCCTGGCGTCAGATCGGCGCAGCTCTGGCCATTGCAGCCATCTGGGGAGTGAACCAGCGGATGGAAGACCTCTGTCTCTGTGTCTACCTCTCTGTAACTCTCTTTCAAATAAAAATAAAATAAATCTTTAAAAAAAATGCATAGCACAGTGTCTGGCTCGGAGTATGAATTCAGTGGCTTCACATCACTATTTTGTATCACCCCTGGACACCATTTAGGAATTATCTAGAAATGGAAAATTTTGTAATTTTTTTGTACAGCATTAGTGCTCTGGAGTGACAGGTGGGAAGTATTGGTTTATGACCTTTTTGATCAGAAAGCCCAGAAGTAATTCATGCATTGGTCCATCAGGTCCCACAAATTAAAATCTCAATGTGATAAATCCAGGGTGTAACATTGATAAATAGAAGAAAACATCTGTTTGAATGGATTGAATCATTTCAGAAATCTTAGAATGAGCTGCTGGAGTTTTTGAGGTGAAACCTCCAATGTTAACAGAGATGGGTAAGAGGTTAGAATTAAAGGTACCGAGGGGCAGGTGTGATGGCACAGCAATTAACCCGTGCTGCCTCCTGCAGTACTGGCCCATGGTTCAGGTTCCAGCTGTTCCACTTCCAATCCAGCCCCTGCCAATGCACCTGGGAAAGCAGCAGCAGATGACATAAGTGCTTGGGCCCCTGCCACCCACATGGGAGACCTTGGATGGAGTTCCAGGTTCCTGGCCATTTGGGAAATGAACCAGTGGACAGAAAATCTCTCTTTCTCTCTCCATCTCTGTCACTCTGCCTTTTGAATGAATAAAGTAAATCTTTTTTTTTTTTAAAAATTAAAGATACTGAGAAAACTCTGAAGTGAATAGCCAGAGAGCTCTCAGGCTGTGCCCAGCCTTCAGAACCACGGGCACCCAGAGGAGACAGGGGAGTGCCGGGAGCTTGGCCTGCCCTCTGGTAAGTACCATGGTACAGGGAGAGAATGAGAGAGGGGGCAGGAGAGGCAGGCACAAAGTGGTCCCTATACCAGAGGTAGCTCGCTCATGGGGGCAGAGAACAGCAAGTCCCAGCTAGGCCCCTGTCCCCACTTCCTAGGTGGAGGGGCAATTTGGTGAAATAACGCAATGTCACCGTTCATGTACAAAAGGATTAGGAGATAAAGGAGGCTCCTCTATGTGTCTGCTTCAGCCCCTAATTAAGGCCACGAATCATTCATACTTGAGCAGAAGTGCACGCAGCTCCGATAATTTAGATATTGAAGAATGACTGACCCCAAGAGTCTTGTAGCAACCATACTCCTACCCACATACTTGTAACCCACAAGACCTAAGATGACCACAGTGGCACTTAACTAACAGTTTCCAGTTTCAAAGTTAAAACAACAGCAGTTCCAGATCGCCCAGATGGGGCCGGGTAACACAGAGGCCTCCTGAAATGTGCCGGAATTCTGTTCTCTCCACACACAGAAGCTGCCCCAGTTGTTGTAACAGGAAAAATCTGCAAGGAGCCGGTTCCACACCTGTCGGCGAAATAAGAAAGTAAAGGGGGAGGGTACTGACCACAGAGAGCAGAACTAAGCGGGATATGACAACAGCGAGCGGAGCCACTGCAAACCACGCCCGCCCTGAGGGCAGAAGGAACTGGCGGCTCCCGCCAACCGGAACATCCGATCCACGCAGGAAGCCCATGGCTCCCTTTCCGGTTTTCGCTAGTCCTCTGACGCCCCCTGTTGGTGAGAACCAAAGGCGCCCACTGACGATTGACGATGGATTGATGGATCCTGTTGAGTCCCGGCCTCAGAGCGGCCCTGCCTGACGTCCCATTTGGAGGGGACTCTGAAAAATCACTTCACATCCCCCTCCTTCCGCACCAAAAGCTTTTTATTTTTCCCAACTACTGAGGACTTTTTCCCCCTAAGATCAAATTCTAGGGTCGTTTCTCTTACCTAGGCATTGACAACAGGCATTTTGGGGGGAAAGAGACGGAATGCATCTCAATTAAATGGCTTCTTCCTCTGTGTTTCAGCCTGGAGTCGGTCCCGGCCCGGAAGGCTGGAGGCCACGGCACACAGGTCCTCACCTGTTCGATGGGACGGCACCTGGCTGCAGGTTGGCAGGTTTGGATGCCATCCAGCACGGTGTGCCTGGCAGTCGGTCTTCTTCCGGCATTGAACTGTGACCATCAGATAAGCCCGGAGACCGCGATCGCTCTGCGAGGCCCCTTCGCAGGCTCCTGGGAGCTCACGGCGGTGCAACCGACCAGCAGGCAGGTGGACGCCCCTCCCCGGCTCGCAGCGCTGAACGCCCGAGCGCCGCGGCCACTGCAGCCGCGGGAAGCTGCGCTCAGGCCGGCGCGCGCGGGGCTCCCCCGGGGGCTCCTGGAGGGGCGCGGGCCCCAGGGCCGGCTTCTGTGGAAGTGACACAGCTGGGCCACCCATGCGCGCCCCCCGGTGCCCCGAGCGCGGCCGCCCGGCCCTGCAGCTGCTGCTGCTGCTGCTGTTGCTGTTCGCGGCGGCGCCGCCGGGAAGCGCAGGTAGGTGGGTCCCGCACCCGGGGCTGGGAGGATCGACGGTGCGGGGTAGGGAGTGTGCAGCGGCCACTCTGATCGATTTGCGGTGGCCGACGGCTGCCTGCGGGGCGCGCTCGCCCGCGCGCCTCGGCCCCGCCACCCGCGCAGATCCCGGAGCCCGCCAACAGTGCGGGGTGAGTCACGCAGGGAGAAGTCCCGGGAAGCGTCTGGAAGGAGGCCGCGCTTTTCCCCTCCAGTTAAGGCCGCGTACAGATCCGTGCCCTGGGAGTCTTCAGAAATCACAGAACTCTTCTCTGGTTTATGGCAAAGGCTGACTTTAAGTTTAAGCGCTACCAGTGAGAATCCACGGAACTACAGTGATTCAGTAAATGGTTTCCTTTTATTTTCTCCTGCATCTCAGGTGCAGGAGAAAAGATTTTTTAAAAAACCAAGAAACCTGGTTCTGCCTCTGCCTCTCCTCCACCCACCCCCCATCCCCCGTATTGGGGAAAGTTCCCGGGATGCTGTTCTTAGCTGATTTACATCAAGCTCTGATGATCCAGCAGTAGTGAGTGCAGCAGCAAAGTTGTCCGTGAAACTGCGGAGTGCTCGCTGTCCGAGAAAAGGCTAAGTTCCGCGGTAGCAGCAGAAGTGAGACACGTGTGCGTGCTGATCTTGGAGGGATTTTTGAACAAGTATTATACACACGAAAAAAGCTTCTCTTCCAAACCCAAAATACATCAGAAATTGTAGCTGCCTGTTCATGTAAGCTGAATGCGAAGAGCCCACAACTGGTGCAGCCAGATATTGAGCCTTCAAGGAACAAATATGGATTGGCTTTCTTATGCATCAAAAAGGAAAGAAAAAGAAAACTTACTCCTTAATTGAAGTAGGGAGTGACAGTAGAAGGTAGCAATATGAGGGTACTTTTTTAAAAAGTTCTAGAGAAAATGGAATAAAAAGACAGGTTAGGCTTTGGTGCCCAAACGGTTGAAAACGGTGCACTATGATGGGGGCTGCGAAAAGTTTGTGGAAAAAGTGCATTGTGGAAAGGGTGATGCATGGATTTTAACTTTTTTTTTTTTTTGCACCCAAAGGGACTTATTTTTTTTTTCGTTTCATTTTCCATGAACTTTTTTGAAGCACTATGTAAACTTAACCTCTAAACAAAATTGGCAAAAAAGCGAAAGAAGCTTTTTGAAGCCCTTGGGTCTTCTAAGGAATGCTGGGGAGGCAGGGGAGAAGGCGCCCGTGTCTCCCCTGCTCTGAATTGGCGGAGCATCTGCGGTGTTTGCCCTGCACAGAGTTTTAGGACGGTAGATGAAAGCTTTAGCAGTCACACCAGTGGGTGTTGAATCAGGCTGTGCAATGCCCAAAGATCCAAAGAGAAAGAAAGGAAAGACTCAAGGCTGGCGCCAACATTTTAAGAAAAATCTTGAGGTTTCAGGTGAAGTCTGAAAGGGAATTCAGGACACGCTGTGCACCCAAGGCAGGGCTGACACCGTGTCATTTGCCCTCCGAGCTCTCCAGGGCAGGGTTTTCACCCGGTCGCTTATCGAACTCTGAATTCTCCTGCAGGCCCCTGGGGCCCACCTCGGCCTGCCTGGCCAGCTTTACCTCCCACCCTGGAATTCTTCAGTGCTGGCCTTTTCCCAGTCCCTAGAGCAGGCGGAGCTATTTCCCACCTTGAAGTTCCTGCTGCTAGAATGCCTCCCCTCCCCCTCCATCCCCAGCTAACCCCTGCTCACACCTGCCGTGACCTTCCCCTGTGCCTCCCTCAAGGACTTCCCCAAATCCCCAATGAGGAAAAACTATGGAGCGTATTATGTCTGTAAAAAACTGGGCCTAGCTTGAGTTTTGGAACCTTCGAATGCAGGCTAAATGGTACTACAACCATGGGGTTTATGAGACTTAGTACACCATAATTAACACAGTGGCAGTGTTGGTTGAAATGTCTCTTCTTTGATATAAACACAAAAAGACTGCATATTTTATTTCACTGAGAAGTTATTCCAAGACATACTTTCCTCTCTCTCTCTCTCTCCTTTCCTCCCTCCCTCCCTCTTTCTGTCTCTCTCTCTCTCTCTCTCACACACACACACACATACGCACACACACACATGATTCCAGTGACCTAAACTTTCAGGTTTTTTTTTTTTTTAACTAGAGTCTTGTGCCGCATGCGGATGTTTTGGTCAATGACCACCTGCATATACAAAGATAGTTCTGTAATATTTTAATGGAGCTGAACAATTCCTATCACCTCATATTTTTTGCTGTACCATTGCCACACAAATTCTGTTGTGTTCTGATTGTCGGCAGTCCTCCATACAGTAGTGTGCTGCACAGGTTTGTAGCCTAGGAGCAGTAGGCTAGACCATAGAGCCTAGGTGTGTAGCAGGCTATCCCATCTAGGTTTGTGTAAGTGCCCTCTGTGACATTTGCAAAATGATGAAGTTGCCTAACTTATATAATCAAGCAGATATGATTACATTAAAAATTAGATTCATGAGCTGGAAAACCACATCTCCTGCTCCCTTTCGTGTTCTCATGCCTCTACCTATATACGCTCACCTGTTGATTAGATTATGTAACTGCTCCCATTTTAGAAACAAATAAAAGGTGTGGAGCCATGCTGGGCCCCTGCCTTGTCCCACACCTCTCCCCTCGCCCCTGCTTTCCTGCCCACACCTGCTACACTACCTGTGGTCACTCCTAACTGCATGCTTTGCTCAGTGTGATTCTGGCCTGTGGATTTCTCACACGAGGCTCCCAACCTGGTCTTTGCCTGGTATGGACTCCTCAGCTCACACTTGTAAACTCCTTTCTCTCTTAAATAAAGCCCTCACTTTCCTGTGTACTTCTCTCACTAAATAAATGCTAAACCTTACCACGTCTCCTGTTTTACTTGAGCCGATATGCAGAATTCTTAATCTGAATAGGCGGCAAGGGCCTCAAGATATTAATATCAAAATAATTAATAAAGGTAACCCATATTGTAACAGTGCATTTCTCAGACTAAGTAACACACAACTGTAGTTTTAGACTTACAGGAAAGCTGCAGGAATAATGCGGAGTTTCCATAGCTCACCTTGCTTTCCCCAGTTTCAACATCTTAGATAACTCTCACAATGTTCAGAACTAGGAAATCAACACTGGTATAGTACTATTCCCTCAGCTATAGACCTTGCTGGAATCTCACCCATCTTTCCACGAACACCCTTTTTCTGGTCCGGTGTCCAGCCTGAGATCTCACACTGTGTTTTCCTTGTCCTGTCTTCTTAGTTTTCTTCCCATGGTGACAGTTTCTCAGCATTTCTTTATTTGTAACTTCTTTCTTCAATAGTGAAAAACCCAGGTATCGTTATCTACAAATTGAATTATTTGTTTAATTCTAGTATAAAGTAGCACCAGAATTGCTAATCCATGATCCTATAAGAAACATAATTTCCTAATTGGATTACAGCATCCCTGTGTGGTTCTTTGATCTTTAGCTTTATAGCATCCAGTTAAGACATTATTGACCAAACTCACCTAAGTTGGTCCTCTCCTATTCTTGGCCCCTTCTACAGCTTCATTACCCACTGTCACAAGCTAGGGTCATGTGCTACTGTTTGTATTTCAATTTGGGTCATGCTAGCACTGAAGGCAGCCCTCACTTTCCTCTGTGTCTTCCCCGCCAGCCACCTCCCCTGTGATGTGATCCCAGTCCTGTGCCTCTCCTGGTGTTTAAAGTGTGTGTTCAGCATGTGTGTATAACCTCGGGCTGACTCCCCGTATGTAGATCATGCTGAGGTTGTTGGTCTACGGCACTCTCAACATGACATCTGGGAGGTTATCCTCACATGATTCAGCATCAGGTCCTTGCTTTAGAGAATTTGCATTTCCGATGTCTTCGAGGTGCCTCCTTCCTCATCTTTGTTGTCTTGAGGATACAGACCCTGACCTCTCATTCAAACTTAGAATTCCGTATCTCTGCAGTTTCACTGTACAAAGGCGATTTCCTTTCTGTTTGCTTCTCAGAGTATAGAGAATGAAAGCAGGGAGTAATATTTTATCTAGGACTTGTGACGTCTGTCCTGGTGGTCTTTAAGGCTCCTCTTTTCTAGACAGAAAATTGTGTTGATTATAAATATTATCTGTGCAAAATGCATTGGGTTTGGAGGGTAGTGATCACAGCATTGCACTTTGAACTACCAAAGTGGTACTTCAGCTACTTTCTCTTCTGCATGATCAAATGCCAGCTCCACCTGGAGCACAGAGAACAGGCATACCTGGTCCTGTGCGGACTTGCCGGCAAGCTTTCCTTCTACCTCTTGGTTTCAACACGTCTCCTTTTCCTCCAGCCGCCTCTCAGCTGGGTAATCCAGGGTCCCATTCCATGCAGCTGCCTTGGTATTTTGGTGACATGGGATCATTGGGCAACCGCAGGGTTCTAGTACAAGTGTTTGCTTACATTATTTCCTTGTGGAAATGTCCTCCTTCCCAAATTCACGGGCCTTTTTTCACCTACACCAATCCCCTAATCACTCTGGTGACTCGGTGGCCCTTAGAGCATTCATTTTTCTCTTCAGTAACATTGTGTTCATTTTTTAAAGAAATGATTTATTTATTTATTTATTTTATTTGAAAGGCAGAGCAGAGAGAGAGGTCTTCCATCCGTTGGTTCATTCCCCAGATGGCTGCAATGGCTGGAGTGGAGTCGATCCAAAGCCAGGAGCTAGGAGTTTCTTCCAGGTCTCACACGCAGATACAGGGACCCCAGGACTTAGACCATCTTCTACTCTTTTCGCAGGCTGTAGGAGGGAGCTGAATGGGAAGAGGAGCAGCCGGGACTCAAACTGGCACCCATATGTGATGACAGTATTGCAGGAGGTGGCTTTACATGCTATGCCACAGCACCGGCCCTTCATTGTGTTCATTTTTTTTTTTTTTACTTATTTTTTGACAGGTAGAGTTATAGACAGTGAGAGAGACACAGAGTAAGGTCTTCCTTCCACTGGTTCACTCCCCAAATGGCTGCC